CCACGTGACAGCCATCGAGGTGACATCGAAGAGTGTCGCAACTCTGTCTCTCTATGGCTCTGGCAAAGCCATATGTAGCCCTTTGTTGTGTTGTGGGTTTATGTAAATTTTAGGGTCAGTGATGTCACTAGCCCGGGAGGAAGCTTGTGTAGTCCCTACCAGTTGTTTGTTGTAGTCCTTAAAGTGATTTCTGTATAAATAAAATTTCCATTTGCTTTGAGCTTTGATCGTCATAACTTATTCATATTGCAGATGTTGTTTATGCTCAAACAGCAACATTACACTACCTAAAGTTAGAAAAGTGAAATCATAATCATCAACCACCCCTTTAAAAAGGTGTTATCTGTTTGACAGTATGCACTGTACAAGGTGTTTAACTGGGATTTTGACTTCACCCAGGTAAGCACTATCCCTTCTCTTAATATTTTTAGGAAAGGTATTACTTTTGGACATTTTAAACATCCATTTCAAAATTTATCTTTAGCTTTTCAGAATGATATGGCCCATATTGTTACGGAAGCAGACGAACAACAAGGTAGGTAGTGATGATAATGTTTAAGTCAAACAGCAGAGTTTCAGGATACTTCAACGAGCAGAAATGGGTGAGTAACAGAGTTCAGATATGGATAATACTTGAGTGCAGTCCGTGAATGGATAATGGATATTTCCTTTGCAGGAACGTCGGATGGAGATATCCTGAGTGGAGAAGAGGCTAACAGGCTGACGGCACACACTCACGCACCCCTTGACTGGACTGAAAGGCTTATGGCTCGTACACCACGGCAGAGATGATCTGGACAGACTGGGATCGGCACAGAGAACTGGTAAGTAAACACAGGGTAGATAGGTTAGTGACACTCGTAGAGAGAAGCACTATAAGTCCGCTTCGTATGAACGAGCCCGGACAATGAGAGGTGTGTGGTGTGTGCTATTGAAGCAGAGTGGCTAATAGTGGTCTTCCTCGTCCACGAGGTCCAGGGTATTGAGGATGGCTGGAATGGAACTCTTCCATGATTGTGGGATCTAGAATGTCGACTCTTGGGATCCATGATCTCTCTTCTGGTCCGTATCCTTCCCAATCGACGAGATATTCCAATCGACATGAATAAAATTCCAATCGACAAGATATGAATAAAATTCATATCCCGGGACTTCCATACCCGGGATATGAATTGGGGTCCCCTATCCGATACAACGTCTTCTGGGATCCCATAATAGCGAAAAACATGATTGAAGAGAAGTTCGGCAGTCTCCAGGGCAGTGGGAAGACCTCTTAGGGGCAATAGCCTGCAGAACTTAGAGAATCGATCTACTATGACGAAGATGCAGGTGTTTCCATCCGATGAAGGCAAGTCAGTCATGAAGTCCACTCCTAGGTGTGACCAGGGACGGTTAGGAATTGGCAAGGGTAGGAGCTTTCCTGCAGGTAGATGTCTGGGACTTTTGGACATTGCACACTCCTTACAACCTCGTACATACCTCTTCACATCCCCTGCCAAACCTGGCCACCAGAAGCGTTCGGATAGCAGCGAGATAGTGTTGTTGGCCCCAGGATGCCCAGTGCCCAGAGAGGTGTGAATGGTATGAATGAGATCCACCCGTTGTGACCTAGGGATGAACTGACGATTAGGTGGGCAGCCCGGCGGAGGTTGTGGGTTAGGAGTGGCGACGGCTGGAGGAGTAGACCATTCGATGGGACTGATGATGATATCTTCGGGTATAATGTTGGTGGTTATCTCGGGAGTTTCTGTAGAATCATGTAATCTAGACAAAGCATCGGCACGGACATTCTTAGGACCAGGACGGTAAGTAATGGAGAAGTGGAATCTTGAGAAGAATAACGACCATCTGGCTTGACGGGGACAAAGTCGTTTCGCATCCCGGAGGTACTGGAGGTTTTTATGGTCAGTGATAACTTGAAATGGATGGGTGGCACCTTCCAGCCAATGTCGCCACTCCTCCAGGGCGAGTTTGATGGCCAGGAGTTCACGGTTGCCGATGTCGTAATTTCTTTCTGCCGGGTTAAGCTTCCGGGAGAAGTAGGCACATGGATGGAGTAATTTAGGTGTCCCGTGAAGTTGAGAAAGGACGGCTCCAACTCCGGAAGTCGAGGCGTCTACCTCCACGACGAAAGGAAGTTCAGGATCTGGATGCGTCAGGAGAGGTGCCTGTGTGAAGGCAGATTGGAAGGCTGCGGCCGCTTCAGGAGTCCAGAGGAGACTTTTCGGTTTACCTTTGAGCAAGTTGGTGAGTGGAGTGGTGATGAGGCTGTAACCTCGTATGAAACGTCTGTAAAAGTTGGAGAATCCAAGAAATCTCTGAAGTTCCTTGATCGTGGTGGGTTCTGGCCAGGTAGTTACTGCAGTGACCTTCTTCTCATCCATTCGAACCCCCTGATGGTCAATGAGGTATCCTAAGAACTGTACTGAGGGGAGATGGAAAGAACACTTTTCTGCCTTCAGGAAGAGGTGGTGATCTCTGAGTGTGTGGAGGACCTCCGCAACGTGGTGACGATGTTCAACTTCACTCCGTGAGTAGATGAGGATGTCATCTATATAGACGACCACGAAGCGATGCAGAAACTCCCGGAGGACCTCATGTATGAAGTTTTGAAACACGGAAGGGGCGTTGACCAGACCATACGGCATAACCAGATATTCATAGTGACCAGTAGGGGTCACAAAAGCGGTCTTCCATTCATCCCCTTCTCGTATTCTCACCAAGTTGTAAGCGCTGCGGAGGTCCAACTTCGTGAAGATGGTAGCAGAGCGAAGTTGTTCGAGGGCCGCAGAGGGGATATTTGAATTTGACTGTACCTTGGTTTAGAGTCCGATAATCAATGCATGGCCGCAGCCCTCCATCCTTTTTGGCAACAAAAAAGAAGCTGGATGCTGCAGGAGATGTGGAATGCCGAATGTATCCTTGATTGAGAGCTTCCTGTATATACTCCTCCATGGCCTTGGTCTCTGGCAGTGACAACGGGTAAATCTTATCTCTGGGCAAAGGAGTATTGGGAATCAGATCAATGGCGCAGTCCCATGGCCGATGTGGTGGTAACTGGGAAGCTCTCTTGGGGCAGAAGATGTCTTGAAAAGAAGAGTAGATATCAGGAATCTCCGTGGACTGTTTCTCGAGAGGACTTTCAACTGATGTGACATAGACTGGAACAGGATTCGGTATCGGACGTGGAAGAACCGGAAAACATCTTGGTAAGCACTCTTTGCCCCAATTTTATCACTTCCCCGGAGCCCCAAGAGATGGTGGGATCGTGTTTCACCAGCCACGGACGCCCAAGGATGATGTCCACATTGGCTCCCTCCAGAACCAGCAGCTGAATATCCTCCTTGTGTAGTGCTCCGATTTGGAGCATAACGGGTTCACATTTCTGGTGAATACGTGGACGTGCAGTGATGAACTTGGTTATGGGTTGGATCTGGTAAACATTTGACGAGGCTTTGGTACGGAGCTGGAGCTGGCGACAGAGGATTCCCGAGATGAAATTCCCTGCTGACCCGGAGTCGATGAGAGCGTGGGCTGAAACAGAGGATGTCTGGGTGGTTAACTGGACACAAGTAGTGAGAGGATGCATTTTTTCTTCATCAATATGAAACACACTCACCGATGTTCGTATGGGACGAATTGGACAGTTTAACCGAACATGCCCACTGGCTCCACAATACAGGCATAGACCCCGGTTCAGTCTCCTCTGTCGCTCAGCAGCGGTGAGTTTACCAGAGTTGATAATCATGGGTTCTGGTTCTGGAGGGCTGGCGGTTTCAGATGGGCGGAAGAGTGCAGTAACATTAGAATGGGACTGATAAGATTGCAGACGGTCTGAGCATCTGATGGATTGTTGAATTAACTTTTCGAGCCCCATATGATCATCCAAAGCGGCCAGTTGTAAACGGAGTTGGGGTGTGAGACCAAGCCGGTAGGTGGTCAGTAAGGACCGCTCGTTCCATCCACTGGCTGCAGCAAGAGAGCTGGAAGCGAAGGGCATATTCACGAGTCGACATCTTTCCTTGAGATAAATGATAAAGTTGCTCACCGGCTGATATCTCTCCATCAGGTTGGCCGAACACCTCCTTGAAGTGAGAAACGAAAGCTTGTATAGAACTAATGGCTGGACCAGCTTGCCTCCAGATCGTTTCTGCCCATTGGAGAGCTGGACCGGTGAGTAACGATGTGATGAATGCTATTTTTGACTGGTCGGTAGGATATAAAGTGGGTTGCATGGTAAATATGAGAGAGCATTGAAGCAAAAATCCGTTGCACTCCTCCGCCCCGCCAGAGTAGGGCGCTGGTCGGGCCATGGGACTGGAAGCTGCGGTTGCCGAAGAAGTGCTCGGTGGTGGTGGCGCTGGCGGTGCCGGTGGTGCGGGAGGCGCGATGGTAGGAGAAGATATTAAAACCCTCTTCAACGAATCCACCAGCTCTTGAAAGGGATCTGGAACACTCATGCTGTTACTGTCTTTAGGTCCGGGCTAACTGTTACGGAAGCAGACGGACAACAAGGTAGTGATGATAATGTTTAAGTCAAACAGCAGAGTTTCAGGATACTTCAACGTGCAGAAATGGGTGAGTAACAGAGTTCAGATATGGATAATACTTGAGTGCAGTCTGGAATGGATAATGGATATTTCCTTTGCAGGAACGTCGGATGGAGATATCCTGAGTGGAGAAGAGGCTAACAGGCTGACGGCACACACTCACGCACCCCTTGACTGGACTGAAAGGCTTACGGCTTGTACACCACGGCAGAGATGATCTGGACAGACTGGGATCGGCACAGAGAACTGGTAAGTAAACACAGGGTAGATAGGTTAGTGACACTAGAGAGAAGCACTATAAGTCCGCTTCGTATGAACGAGCCCGGACAATGAGAGGTGTGTGGTGTGTGCTATTGAAGCAGAGTGGCTAATGGGGTGCAGGTGTCTCTTGTTAAAACTCAGGTGACTGTGATCGTTGGGTGATTGTGGTGGAAGAACCTGGCCAATCCGTGACACATATCAGGCGGTGGTGGGTGAATCTGCTATTGTCAAAAATGACACATGGAAGGTGTAGATAGAATAGGTAAATAAAAACTATTTTGGCTAAGTAATGTTTGGTAATGAAATAAATGTTGTTTTTGTTTTTAGAAAGAGGAAGCGCACATCAGCCATGTCAATCAGTGAAGAGACAAAATGACAGGAGGCAGGACAAGTACAGAACATCGAAATCTTGATGGTAGTAGTACATTCAATATGACAGAAGCAAAGATCGAACAGATTTCAAAGCCTTTATTATCTCACAAACTATTATAGTAGCTTTATGACATATCTTATTGTTAAATTAAATGTTTTCAGGTATTACCTGCACCCATAGGATGCACATTTTGTTTTAATGGAGGTTAGGTCATGATGTTTGGAAATGGCAGTATTGATTTTTTGGTTTGTTTGTAATACCCAATAGTTGCCAGACGCTGTCCTGTCTGAAATTTTACTTCACGTGGTCCTTGAGGAGGGTGATTCCGGATTGTTCTAAATTCAGAAGTCTGGTGGATACAGACTCATTTAGGAAGAGGGCACACTTCTGCTGGCTTGACAGTATATGTTTGTATTTACTTTTACACATTTGATTTAAATGTGGTTAAAATGGTAACTGAGAAATGTATTGGTATGTTAACATGTCTTCAATTATTCTCTTTTTAATCATGCTCATTTTTATCCTCCTCAAATTGAAATATTCAGGTGTAACAAATTGGAGAGAGAAGACATGTCCAGAATATTATCAGATGTACACACTGCAGCCCTGCAGACACTGCAATGACATTTACAAGAACTGCTTACCAGGTGTATCAATTATGAATGAAAATGTGCTTAATGACAAAATGCAATAAGAATAGTCATTCATGTGGCTGCATCCATGTGTACTGTTAATAAGGTAATTTGGATATTAATGTCACAATTTTCTTATGAATCCTCTAGGTTATGTTGGAAGAGGAAAACGAGGAGAAATCCAAGGCTTTTACTCGAAAAACACCCATCCAGGGTTTTGCAGTGATTGGTGTCAGCTGCTGGAGAGTGAAAATTCGTTCACTCTTCCAGTTCCAGTCTAAAAGCCTACTTAATTATCCAACTCATCTAACTGCGTAGGACACAACATCATGAGATCGGTTCCATCCAACACACGGCTTGTTCCGCCTGCTACAATCAGGTGGGAGGTACAGGTCTCTTCAAGCCAGAATGGCCAACAGCCTCTTCTCAGGCAGTTAGACTGTTGAATCCCCGGCTACCTCCTCTTCTCACTTAATCCACTCACTTAACACTACCCCGGTACCTACTAGGCACTCTGATAGGTCTACCAAATCTTTACAGTCTCTCATTACCCATTGCATGAAATTGACTACTTATTATAGGCGAAGTCTTGGCATTCACAGAAGATGAAAAACTTGCACTGGCGTTATTGTCCACATTGTTTTCCTGCTCTGAATTCAGCTCACAGTCTGGTGAAGGAACAGGTAAGTCTTCCACAGCTTCAGTTGGAGGTGAAGGACACACTGTCTCTTTTGTTTTCAGCAAACCTCTTCTATTCCTTCTGAAGATGCGACTGTCTGGTGTTTGAACAATGTAAGATCTTGGTTGTTGAAGTACTGCAGGTTGCCATTTGCTATCCTGTCTATTTCTCACTCTTTCATTTTTCTTGAATTCAGGTAGCTTTCTTGTCCCACGATCAAAGTATTGCTTTTGTTTGACTTGCCTGTTACTCAGTCTGTTACGCACCTGTCTGAAAACCTTGGGCATCAGCATTTTCTTTGACACTGGAATCTTTGACTTCAGTCTTTTTCCCATGAGTAACTGTGCAGGTGAAAGGCCTATTCCATTCAACGGTGTGTTTCTATACTCCAGGAGAGCAATGTACGGTTCTCTGTTACTGTCTTGTGCTTTTTTCAGCAGATTTTTTATTGTTTGCACTGCCCTCTCTGCCTGACCGTTTGACTGTGAAAATCCAGGACTTGATGTAGTATGAATGAACTCCCAGCTGGCTGCAAACGCTCACATTTCAGCACTTACAAACTGTCTACCATTATCTGAAAAGAGTTAATCTGGCACACCGTGTCTGGCGAACATTGATTTAAGATCCGAAATAATTTGCTAGCTTGTCATATCATTTAACTTAGCGATTTCGGGGTACTTGGAAAAGTAGTCCACACAGAGGAGGTAATCAGCATCTCTGAAGTGAAACCAATCCATTCCAAGCTTTGACCATGCTCTTTCTGGGACAGGATGTGACACCAGTGGCTCTCTGGAATTGCTGTTTCTGTGCTTATTGCAGATGTCACATTTACTGACAACATCTTCAATTTGCTTTGCCATTCCTGGCTAAAACAAAACGTCTCTGGCTCGTTCCTTGCACTTTACGATACCCATGTGTGCTTCATGGATTCTTTCAAGCATTTCATCACGCATTTTGTTTGGGACTACTAGTTTACCATTTTTGAACAACAGTCCATCTGTGTGACTCAGTTCCTCTCTAAAAGTCCAGTACTGCTGTATAGATTTTGGTACTTGGCTTCTTGAGTTTGGCCACCCTGACTGAACCGCTTCTCTGACTAATCTCAGTTCTTCATCCTATAGAGTTGCTGACTGAAACTGTTCTTTTTTTCCTTTGAAACAGGTAACTGGTGAAGTATAAAACTCACTTCTATCTCTTCCTCTTCTCTGCTGTCCTGAGTGCAATGCTCTTGAAGGTAAGCTCTGCTCAATGCATCCGCAATGTGCAACTCCTCTCCTGGAACATATCTCACCATCAGGCTATACTTTTGCAGTCTCATCATCATTTTCTGAAGTCTGGACGGAGCTTTATGGAGTGGCTTCTTGAAAATGATCTCCAATGGCTTGTGGTCAGACTCAACCTGAATGCAGCGTCCATATAGATATTGGTGGAATTTTTCACAACCATACACAATTGCTAACAGCTCTTTTTCAATTTGTGCATAGTTTTTTTCACAATCTGTTAGTGCTCTCGAGCCGTACGCTACTGGCTGTCCCTCCTGAAGAATCACAGCTCCTAAACCTTCTGAGCTCGCATCCACAGACAAGGTAACTGGCTGGCTCACATCATAAAATTTCAACACTGGTGCTGTACTCACTAGCACTTTCAGACGATTGAAGCTGTCTTGTTGTACACACTCCCCATGCCAGAGTGTTTCTCCTTCCAGCAGCTTTCTGAGAGGTGCAGACACTTCTGAAAGATTTGGGATGAACTTTGCTAGGTACTGCAACATGCCTAAGAACCTCTGCAGGGCTGACTTGTCCTGTGGCTCCGGCATTTCAAGAATAGCTCTCACTTTTTCATTGTCAGGTTTCAGTCCGTCTTTGCTCAGCACGTGACCTATGTAGCTGATTTCACTTATGCCAATCTTGCATTTGTTTCTGTTCAGTTTCAGGTTTATGCTTCTCAGGTTTTCTAACAACTTCCTCAGTCTGCAGTCGTATGAGTCTTTGTCTTCTCCCCACACCAGAATGTCATCCATTACATTAACTACTCCTTCCATTCCTTCCAGATGCTGAGACAAACACCTTTGGAACACCTCTGGAGTTGATGAAATCCCAAAAGGAAGCCTTGTAAAACTGTACCTCCCCAAGGGTGTGTTAAATGTACAGAGTTTAGAACTGTCATCATCCAGGGATCTGCCAAAATCCCTGATTTGCATCCACCACAGAGAATATCTTGGCTCTGGGCATTTCTGCAACAACTTCCTCAAGCGTTTTAAGAAGAAAATGATCCTTTCGTATTGCTCTGTTTAGATCTTGAGGGTCTATACAGATCCTAATCTTGTTGGGTTTTACTATTGTCACCATACTATTTACCCATTCTGTGGGCTCAGTCTGTTTTTTGATGACACCCATCTCTTCCATACGTTTCAGTTCTCTTTCAATGTCTTTTTTCAAGGCCACTGGAACTTTCCTTGGTGCATGAATCACTGGCATGACCTCAGGCTTTGTCTGAATGTGGTGGACCCCTGGAACACAACCCACTCCTGTAAACAAATCGTCAAATTCACTCAGAATATCTTTTGATGCGTCTCTTGTTATTTCATACACCCTTTTTATCACTCCCAAAATGTTGCATGATTCTCTTCCCAGAATTGCACAGGCATCTATGACCTGAAATTCAAGAGTGTACAGCCAGTGTTGCCAACTTAGCGCCTTTGTCGCTATTTTTAGCGACTTTTCAGACCCCCTTAGCGACATTTTTTCAAAAAAGCGACTAGCGACAATTTTAGCGACTTTTTGGACAAACCTCAGTAACCTCCAAATGTTGCCAGTACTGTCCTGCGAGCGCGAGGTCTTGCTTTCTCCCTGTCGTCACTCTCTCTAGCTGCGTCTCCCCTGTTCAGTGAATGGCTGAGAGGAGCGCACGGCCGCTGACAGACGCGAATGAGCAGTGTTTTTCCATGGACTTATCACTTATCTGCTTCTCTTTTGTTTTATATTTAAAGAATTTAGTTTGACCATTTTAATTTTATTTCTTTTCTTGTGCTTATTACTTGTAAACACTATCACAGAGCTTAGTTCATCCGGTTCCCATTCAGATAATGTTCCACATAGGCCTATAAAAAATGTAATCATTCACTATATTATAGCTACTCGTTCAACTGTCTGACAACAAAAAAATAGGAAACGAGAACAGCTTTATTTGACATTCGGCTATATTATATTGAATAGAACATTAATTTAGAGAGCAAACGCACTAGGCTGACAGAACGCAAGTACGACGCGATGACGTCATTAATATGCTAATTGACGTATGACGTCATCTAGCGACATTTAGCGACTTTTAGGGAAGGCCTTAGCTACTTTCCTTTGAAAATAGTTGGCAACACTGTGTACAGCTTGTCTTTGTACTGGCATTCAAGGCGTTGCTGACCCAAGGGTGACATCTTGTGGCCTGAATACGTTAGGCTACTAGTTTTCATCCTGATTTTCTTATGTCATTTCTGTCAACCTTTAAAGGGTTAGTTCGCCCATTTAAGACATGAAGTTGTATGCAATCCTTACCAGCACTATAGTGCATACACACTGACCCACTCTGTTGTCACCTCCCTGGAAGTTTTTCAATGAAGTACTCCCGGTTATTTTTCGGGGTCACAAAACTGTGCGTTTTTACGTGAAAAAATGATTTGCGTTTCAAAGCTTGATTAATTTACCACACAAAAAACACGCCAGTCAAAATTCATACCTCAGTTTTAATCGGCACTATTTTCTATCCATTTCTATCAATCCGCGCTGCTGTCAACGTCAACAGTGCGCACGTTCCGATCAGCTGTTGATAGCGCGACTCGCTGACAACATGTCTCTGACTGCGAAACTTCTGATGATGAAACCAATTTTAGCACAATGTCAGACGGATCAGATGATGAAAGTAATTTTAGCACAACGACAATGTTATTGATTGCAACACAAAACCTCAATTGTGTGTGTGTTCAATCAAATAGTTTTCTCAGCAAATTGTACCAATATCCCTATAGCTGTTTTCATATTAGACATCTTTTCACGTGTTTTATAATGGAATCTAAACATCAGCTTGTTTACCGTACAGTTTAGACATGGGATCATAAAGTTAGTAAATAGAGCTTACCCGTGGTACTGGTACAGCAAAACTCTTTAATTTTCCTTTTCCTCCTTGATTGGGGATGTAATCTTCGCTGAAGTGAGCACTACACACACGAAAATCCTTTATTTTGGATATTTTAGCTCCCGCAGAGTAGCCGATGGCAACCAGCCAAATCAACAACACGCGCTTGCACCCCCTGCTGGTGAGATCGACTAACGGCAGATGGAGATTATGCTCGGTAAGCTGTCTCATAGTTATATTCGAAACAGGAAAACGATGGAATCTGAACTTTGATCCCGGCACATCCTTGTGGTCACAGCCTGGGAATTTACAAGTTCGCACCATTGTTAATTTAATACTTTTTACGTCGTTGTCAATCGATTGGGTAAACACTATGGAACAGCTGATCGGAACGCGCACTGTTGACGTTGACAGCAGCGCGGATTGATAGAATAGAAAATAGTGCCGATTAAAACTGAGGTATGAATTTTGACCGGCGTGTTTTTTTTGTGTGGTAAATTAATCAAGCTTTGAAACGCAAATCATTTTTTCACGTAAAAA